TAAATCCTCTCTGTGAAACTTGATTCCAGTCAAACTTTGGGACATTGACAGACCCGTTTGGGACAAAGTCTTCATCGTCAACTCATCAGACTGCTGCTCCCCTGCCTTTGTTTTAAGCTTTTACTGAGAATGCAAAAACACAACATTGGGGAAAACATGGGGGAGTTTAGCATTGAAAGTGAAAAAAACGTTTTTTTGGCTATTAACAAATGCTAATTTATACAACTCTGTCCTTTCCTATGATGAGCTGAGCAGAAACTGAAAGGCATCTGCGTCCTTTCAAAATAATTATGGAAAATACTTCAAGTTTTTGTTGATTTCCTCTTTTTATTTTACATAGAATCTTTAAACACTTTATTGAGCTGTGGATTTATTGCAAAAGGGGGATTAACAGAAAAAAACAATAATTTTATAAACAATAAGACTCTTGCTCAGGTATTTGGCAGGAAATGAACTGTTCTGTTGGTTGGGGTTTGATAAAAAATAAAAAAATAAAAACATTTCAAGGCTGCTGATCAGCACCGACGAGGGACTATGAGAAGTTCAGAGAAGCACAAATAATAAAAATGAATTATGAAGCACGTTGTTATTAAAAAGACAATAGGTTGTCAGCTTAGAGGTTCAGTAAACGGGTCATGGGGCTGAATGAGAAAAGCAAAACGAAACCGAAACATAAGCAGAGACGGCTCAGTTTGTGCTCAGGAAGCAGAACTCTGTGGAGCTGATCACAACGTGGAGTCAAAGACGGGCACGGAAAAGCTGGACAAATGGGGATAAGACGACTTGGTGGGGGATTCTCACGTGGAGTGGATATTAGGCCAAACGTGGGCTATTCTTAGTCTGCCAGACCTAGAAATGTATCCATTTCCACTCCTCCCCTTAAAAACTGGGTTGGCGTCCTCTTTAAACGGTCTCACCCTACACCTGCACCCAGATGTTCTCTGGTTCAAATGCTCCAGAATCACATCGTTGATAATTTTTCATTTTGTGAATGTTTATGAAGCATTCACACTATTGTGATCAATTTTTTCTTCTGTACGTTTTTTGGCACGATTCTCGTCCCGCAGTTTAAGCCAGTTCAACTAATCATAAATCAAAACGTTCGGCTCTTTCAGGACAGTCCTGCTATGACTTTTGGCATTGGTGCAACTTTAGCTTTTTGAAATATTTAGCCTTTTCTGCCTTCCTGTTTCTCATATAAAATTATTTGAGCTCATTTTACCTCCTTCAAATCTTTAGCTCTGTTTACAACATTTTACTGCTCCTTTCACATTTTGTTCTGCTTCAGCTTCTTTCAGCTTCCTGCTGCAAATGTAAATATTTTTTAACTACTTTCAGCTGTTTTGTGCTCCTTTCAGATTATTTCTACTAACTACAACATTTTTGTACTTCTTCACACTTCTGTTACTTTCAGCTTGTTATGCTCCTTTCAGATGATTTCTGCAAGTTTCAACTTTTTTTTTTTTTTTTTTTTTTACAATTTCAGCTGCTATACAGCTGTTTTAATGCTAATTTAGGCTTTTTCAGTTAATTCTACATTTGGTGCACTCATTTAAACTTTTTTCAGCCGAATTCAGCAAAAATGTGCCCTTTCCACTTCCTTATAATTTCAGCTTTTTTCTGCCTTTTTAGCTTTCAGCTGTTTTTTTTTGTTGCTGCCAATTTCAGCTTTTTTCTGATAATTTTCACTTTTTAATGCTTATTTCTGCTTCTTTAAGCAAACACACTCATTCTGCTTTCATGTGCTAATTTAAGCTTGTTGTACCTTTTCAGCTTTTTTTTTTAGTTAATTTCCTATTTTTTGTGCTCATTTCTGCTTATTTAAACCTAATTCAGCAAATATGTGTTCTTTCTTCTTTCTTCTGCTAAGTTAGGTATGTTCTTACATTTCAGCATGTTTTTAGTTAGTTTCAGCTCTCTTAAGCAATAAACATTCACACTGCATTTTTACAGCAAATGCAATTTCTCTAGTTTCACTTAATGAACCGCTGGCGGAGGCGGCGGCCGCAGCAGCTTTAATTGATGACAATGCAACAACACCTCATCGTAGTTTATCCTCCTGAACACACCTTTGTGAATTCTGAGAAACTCGAGTCATAAAAAAAATCATCATCAGGGATCATATAATCCTCCCTGAAGCGCGACAATTCCGTTTACAAGCCATACAATCAACAACCAGTACTCCCAGCATGCATTGCAAATGTCCAACAACCAAAACAAAGGAAGTTTGTCAGAACTGCGACACACGACTTGTCGGAAAATCAAAAGTTTAACCAAGCTATAATATTTCTGATCAGGCTAAAGCAACAAGGTTTGTGGTCAAATTTAGGAAAAGCCCAGTTTTACCGCAGGGAGACCACCAGTAAAACCACTTCAACCTAAGGCGAAGGCTTTTCCACAAAGCCAGAGATTGATGGGGTCGTTCCAAGGGCAAACAGCTTTTTCACATTTCTGTTAAAGAAGTCATTTGTATCATTGTATCCACAAAACAGTGTGACCAAACTTCCACAAGAAAGCTTTTAAAGACCGAATAAAAAATAAATAAAAAGGGGCCAACGTCCTTCACACGCTACTGGAAAATGAACGGGTCTAAAACTCTCTCATGGTGCCACCCAGTTCATGTCTGGCAGGAGGCCATACAACCGTCATGCCAACTGCTGTGTTTCCATAGCAACGCTGAGCACAGAACCAAACTAAATACAAGTACTCGTCATTTTCAAAACACTTCCACGAACAAAGCCAAACCAGGATTAGATTATACAGACGTAAACGTATAGATGACAGATATGTGCTTTGAAGGAGTGTTTACATCGTCTAGTTTGTGCTTTAATTATCACCTGCCGTGTGTGTGTGTGTGTGTGCATTCAATGACCTTGGCACTCACAAAAAACAGCTGTAACTCCATCAATTTTACAAAAAAACCGAGCTATAATTTGATGTAATTATAGCTGGGACAACACATACTCAAAGCACACACGTCTTGCAAAATCCTGCGATGTAGCATTAGATTGTATATAACATTATTTTCATAGAACGACAAAAACTGATCTGTCATTTCTCATCATATAAGGCGGCGGGTGATATGCATTCCTTTAAGGAATAGAAGGAACAGAAGGGCTTTTATATCATTGTTGCAGCAGTTGTGATTCTCAGATTTTAGGGATGCACGATATTGGATTTTTGGCCGATATACGATATGTTAAAACTTATTCAGCCGATAACCGATACAGATATTTTATATACGTTCCCTTGTCAGAACATAGCCCCTCTCTCTTATTTAGGCTTATTTGCTACAATAATTGTGCAACAGCCGTAAGAGCTGGTGACATATATATTCAGTAACAGTCATATAGCACTTTAAATTATATTAAATGAAAAGTGTTAAATGTTATTTATTAGCGTTAGTCACCTGCGATGCTGTCTCACCTGTGGAGGCTTGTTCCAGGTTCCTATAGCTGCAGTGTGGGATCCTCTGCACTCCTGTGCATGAAGGACAGACTTTTTAAGATCAAAGTTTTTGTCTATCCATTGTTCCGTAAGACTAATCATGCTAACGGGCTAACATGACGTCCAAATGTCTGTGGTAAAACTCACCCAACAAGTCGTGCTATCGGCTGTTAGCTTCTCAATGACGTTGGAAATGACGGATTGTAACTCGGTAACGTTACGTCGGAAAAATATCTCCGAATGCGGACTATGTAGTGAGGCTCAACGTAGTTCGTGAATCTTTGGAATCCGACATCCTCACCAACGAAAAATAAAACTTCCACACCGCCGACATTTTGAATTTTCCTCTCCGCCGTGAGATCGGGTAGGCGCACGTGACGTCGTCGCGTTGTGCTGCTGCTGCAGGCAGAAACAGCGCCTTTTATATCGGCGACTTATTTTAATGGAATGGCCGATGTCCGATATTGAATTTTAACGCCAATATCGGCCGATACCGATAATATCGTGCATCTCTATCTGATTTAATTCAACTTGTTCCAGTGTTTGTGGAGCGAAGACGGGGTATTGAAAATACTGTCCATCCATCTGCCCAACCATTCATTTGTGAGTCCATTTGTGCATGTTGTGAGCACGATAACTTAAAAAATAAGATCAACTTCCATTTTGGTGCGTGGCTATATCTAGGAATAAGAAAGGTTCCTTTAAAAAAATGGGTTGTTGCATCCAAATCCAAGACGGCCGCCACCATATATTAGTGTATGTAACCCTTGTGTTGCACAACTGGAAAAAGTTTGATGTATGGCTGCATCTAGGTGCACAAAAATAAAAAAGGTCCCCTTGGAATTTGGGTTGCTACATCAAAACCCAAGATGGCCACCACCTTATAAAGATGTACACTGACCATGCCAGTCATTGGAGGAAACCGTGCGTTCTAGTTTCTTAGTGTAGGTTCCTCAAAATTGCCCCCTCCACTTGCCAGGATCTGTCACTCTGCTCCACTCCTCTTCTTCTCCACAGCGCAACTCCTCCATTATTGAATATCTTGCACCAAAAACATTAACGTTTACTTCCCTTCTCTGTTCAACTCCTGTCCAGAAAAACACTCATCTGGAAAACTACAAACATTTACTATTTAAATCCCTCGGTGATGGGTGACATCGGCTGGTTGAAGGTGCGTTCTGTTTGAACAGTAGAACAACCTGGACTGCGCCCTGCTCAATCCATCACAGCTGTTCGGCACACACGCAGCAAACGGTTTAATTGTTTTTCCTATAATCTGCTCATTATGCTGCAAATAAACCTGATGTCAAACCAAAATGAAACTCACAATTACCCCCACTGAGAGCAAATGCAAAATGATTTTCCCTCTCAGTGAGAGCGTTGCACCGTGTTAAAGCCGACTAATGTCAGTTTTATGTTCTGTAAAATGGTTGTTTAGCACCGTTTGAGATTAAAACGAAAGGATTAGATCGTTTACCTCCAGAGTCTAATCCTGCCGTCATTAAGACCTCAGATATCAGAGATTATTGAAGTGGAGTCTTTAAGGGCATTACCTCCAGTCTTTGCACCATCTCTCGGATGTCTTCTCCGCAGTTGTCATGAGCAGACAGCATGACGCACTCCCCACGCTCGTAAAAGACCTTAATGCTCATAATCCCCGAGGTCCAGCCGATGACATCGCGACACGAGCAGTTGAACACCACGTTTTTGGACTCCTCTTCGATGAGCACAATGAACTCGTTGGATATGCCGAGCAAGCAGTCTACATCCATGGACTGACTGAAGTCTCGGGCGCAGACGCTCCAGGTGATGGCCCCCACACTTAACAGGTGGGCGTCCTTCCGGGGCTTCACCTTCTCCTTCTTCTTGGCTCCGAGCGTAATGAAGCTGAACTTAACGGTCGAGTCTATGGTAGCCGTGCTCACAAAGTTCTCGGCGAGGTCCTTCAGGTACTCCTGCCGCGTACGAGTCGCCATGGCTCTGAACTTCTCCGACTTGTGAGCAGCGTTCTCGCCGTTGATGACCTTGGCGAGCAGGAAGTCCCTGAAAACTGCAGACTTTGGGAAGGTTACAGACTTGGGAATAGGGGGTCCAAATGGAGGGACGTCCTTCGATCTGGATAAAGCCACGCTAAAAAACAAAACAAAACAAAAAATAAAACAACAACAACACAGTGACAGGAAGAGCTGCAACACTCCACACATTCAACGCTTGAATCTGGATGGCAGTAATCTGTCCTCCAGCTCTAACGTTAAAAATCTTGGTGTTATTTTTGATCAGGATATGTCTTTTATCCCCCACATTAAAAACCTCCTTCTTCCACCTGCGTAACATCACTAAAATTAGAAACATCTAAAAATGATGCAGAAAAACTGGTCCATGCACTTGTCACGTCTAGACTGGACTATTGCAATGGTTTGTTATCTGGGTGTCCAAATACGTCTTTAAAAAGTCTTCAGTTGATCCAAAATGCTGCTGCCACGGTCTTAACTGGAGTTACTGGGAGAGATCATATCTCTCCAGTTTTAGCTTCTCTCCATTGGCTCCCTGTCAAATCCAGAATGGAATTCAAAATCTTAACTTGTAACCTACAAAGCCATCAACAACCTAGCTCCATTTTATTATTACCCTTTATTTAACCAGGCAAATCCCAATTGAGATCACAGATCTCTTTTGCAAGGGAGGCCTGGGCCTGAAGGCGGCCTAACATGCATGTTTTTGATCTTTAGGTATTTTATAAAAATACAGATTGTTCCATATTTTCCTACCAGAGCACTTCGCTCTCAGACTGCAGGCTTACTTGTGGTTCCTAGAGTTTCCAAAAGCAGAATGGGAGGAAGATCTTTCAGTTCTCAGGCTCCTCTCTTGTGGAACCAACTTCCAGTTTGTGTTTCTGACACATTGTCCAGTTTTAAAACTGGGCTTAAGACTTTCCTTTTTGATAAATCCTATAGCAGGGCTATTCAACTGGCGGCCCGCGGGTGACTTCAATCCAGCCCACTTCATAAAAAAAAAGGTTTTTTGGGTTCTGTTCATTGCATTTATGATTCAAGGCAATAAAATAAACACATTTAAAAGGTAACGGATCATTGTAAACTTTGGTTTATTTACATAATGATTTTAATTGCCGTTTAATCGGATGTCCGGCCCCCGCGCTGTTTGCTCTCAGAAACTGTGGCCCCCTGAGCAGTTTTTGTTGAATAGCCCTGGTCTATAGTTAGTCAGCTTGGTTTCCTGACCTATTCCTTATCCTATGCTGCAATAACCTTAGACTGCTGGAGGACAAATTGACCTCACTTATCAAATGAATACTTACAAATACATACAAATAAGTAGTTTGTATTTGTAATTATTCTTTCTTAACGTGTGAATTCTGATTGGTTTTATTTTTTGTCTTTTTTTGTATTTCCTCTTAGAGAAAAACGTGATGTCCTCCTTCCTGGATCTGCCATTGTGTATCTATTCCTCCTTCCTGTCCTCTCAAACTCAGCCGGTCGAAGCAGAAGGCTGCTGGTCCCGAGTCTGGTTCTGCTAAAGGTTTCTTCCTGTTAAAACGGAGTTTTTCCTTTCCACTGTTGCCTCTGTGCTTGCTTAGGATGAGAGTCTACTACAAAGTTACCAAGCTTGAGAAGCTCTTGGTGTGTTTAAATGTGCTGCTATGGTGCAGAGTTTTGT